TGATGGCAGGCAAGAACAGAGTTGAAATCCTCTATGATTGTGAAACAGCTGGAAAAGGTATGTGGGTCAGAGGGAGGGGAGGGGATTCAAAATTCATGTAATTAGTAAGTAATTGTAAATAATTTGTGTGTGTGTGGGGGTGTGTTTGTTTCTTCACTCAAACTCTCTCTCAATTTGAGAGAGAGTTTGTTTGAGAAGAGAGGAAAGGGGGTAGGAGAGACAGGGAGGTCAGCCCGCCAGCTTTCTTTCTCTGTGTCGGGGCAGCCCACCAGCAGAGGCGGGTCTTATTCTATATAGAATTATTTATCTTTTATAAAAAGTCTTTTCGACATCATCTCCATCCTCACTTACAGTTTATATAAAATTTTATATTATCAATCTAGTATATATAAATGTTTTATTAGCATTATTGATCATTTATTTGACTATCACTATTATTACTTTATCTTATACACAATACTCAAAGTTTAACTACATTTAACTAAATTGTATTGTGACATTTCATTTCATCATCCTGTATCCTTCCAGAAATAGTGCAGTCCAATATCTCTTGCCATTTGTAACCACCTGCTTTTTGTATGCCTCTGCTATCTCAGCTAGTGCATGTGTAGTATTCTCCCAACCCAGCTTTAGCTATTCCATCCATTTGGCTAGGGTCATGGATGAAGACGGCTCTCATGGCAACTCGGGCATGGGAACAAATTCTATGCTGCTAACATCTGAAAGTGTGTCAGTCCGGCGCTACTGTGCACTGTGTTATTATAAGACACCTCTGCAAAAGACAGCAAATCTGCCCAGTTATCTTGTTGATAGTCCACATAGCATCTCAGGTACTGCTCCATCATGGCATTCACACATCCTGCGGGCTCCGTTAGTGCTTGGATGGAAAGATGGAACTAAGCCCCTGGGTTGATCCGATGAACTTCACGAACTCCCTCCAGAACTTAGCAGTGAACTGAACCCCTCTGTCAGGGATAACCATGCGGGGCACTCTGTGTAGCTGGTATATTTGCTTTAAAACATCCTGGCCAATTTCCTGGCAGAGGGGAATCCTGAGCAGGCAGTGACGCGGGGTTGCTTTGCGAATAGGCAAATCACAGCCAAATGACTGTGTTTTCTCCACTTTCTCGGAGTTTGACTGTAAAGTCCATGGCAATTTCCTCCCAGGGACAGCAGGGGTCAGTTTCCTAGCAGCCCGTCATGTTTTCAGCAGCTCTGTCAGGGGTAGAGCTACTTCAGCAAAGCTGGAATGAACTGTGTGTAAGTTTGCAAATCCCAGGAAGCTTTGGAGTTGCTTGTAGTTGCGTGGAGTTTGCCAATCAAGTACTTCTTCTTCTTTTCCTGGGTCCATCTCAACTCCGTCATTTGACACTCGATAGCCCAGGTAGTCTAGGGAAGTCTTATGAAACTTGCATTTGGACAGCTTTGCATAGAGCTTCGCGGCTAGTTTTTTCAGAACCTGCCACACTAGTTTAATGTGTTGTTTGTGTGTCTCGTTGAATATGAGAATGTCATCCAGCTAAACTAGGACACCTTTGTACAGGTGCTCATGCAGCACTTATTGATTAGCTGCATGAGTATGACAGGGGCTTCCTGAAGCCCAAACGGCATGACTTACACTGGAAACTACCTAATAGGCAGTTAAAGGCGATCTTCCATTCACATCCCTCCTTAATCCACACCTGGTAATAAGCTTCCCATAAGTCTAGCTTGAATACTTTGTCTTTTGCTGGGTGATTTAGCTTGTCTTTCACGGGGGGGGGGGGGAGAGTGTAGGTGTTCTCCACGCACAGTGTTAATTCCACGGAAGTCCATACAGAGCCTCACACCCCCATCCTTCTTTTCTTTGAACAGCATTTTTGATTTGGCGGGTTGGATGAAGCTCCTCATCAAATTGGTGTTGATGTACTTTCTTAATTCACTCATCTCTTTTAGGGGTCATGGAATACATCTTGGGTTTTGGCAGCTTAGCTCCTGGCACAAATTCTATTGCACAAGTGGTGAGGCGGTGGAGGGGGAGGAAGTTACATTTATGTTTGCTGAATGTGTCTGCCAGGTCCCTGTATTATTTGGGCAGCTGGGGGAAGCCAGGCAGGCTATCTGCAGCAGCTGTGGCCCCCTCCCCCTGACCAGGGTTGCTTGGGGACTGAAGTGGTTGAGCTTCAGCCTAAGTGAGTGGAGGCAGTGGGGTGATGCCAATTTTTAGTCTTCAGTAGCAATCTTCCCATATAATGACTGGACCCTATTTGTCCAGCCAAGCGAGGTTTAGGATCAGTGACTCTGTCATCTTCAGAGCTTCCACAAAGCATTTAAGTTCCCAGTGGTGTCCCAATTTCCAGTTTCATGAGCTCAGTGACTAAAGTGCCAGGGGTCCACCTATTACTGTCCCATTGACTTGCTTGAAGTGCATGGCGTGCCCCAGGTGTTTTGTGTTCAGCCTTAGTTTGTGGATGGTAGGGAGGCTAATCAGGCACCTGGTACAGCCAGTGTCTATGATGGCTTCTATGTCCCCTTGAGACACTGTTACGGGTACCACTATTTTGTGGCAGCCCTGAAGACTCCTATTAAAGATGGCTCCAGGGCTGACACCATGAAGTGACCATGGCGAATGTAGCAGGTCAGTGTCTCGGGGTGGAGAGCAGGTCATGCATCTCCCTAAGCGACTGAGACATGCCAAGTTGCACCAACAAAGACCGGAAGTAGTCGCTTGCCGTTTCCTGCTGCAAAAATCTTTTAAAAACCAGACTGTCAGGCAGTGAGACCCAGCAAGAGATGAGGCGCCAGAAAATCAGACCCGGACGCTTCTCTCATGCAGTGACGGACGCAGCCCGAAGCAATGGGAGTTAAGTGCTGCTTGAGCACAAATGTACTGTGGTGAAGGCAAATGCTGTTGCTGTGCAATGGGGCGCTTCGCTCCTGCACGAAGGCTCTAGCCATTGCCACCACCGCTTTGGCCTGCCTGCACCGCCCAATCTTGCCATGAGTGAGCTGGCCATGCCCACTCAGTCACGACCCCCCAGCCACGCCTACTCAGCCAGTCATTAGGGAGAACCAGTTGTTAAATTACTTGAATCGCATCACTGATCCAAGCCCTTTCTCCCCATGGCAACATTAAAACCTTCCAAATACAGGGGCTAACCTATTTTCCACTTTCTCCAGCCCGCCAGTAATTTTATTTTATTTTTTAATTTTATTTAGTTTGTCAAACATGTACAAGATAATAGGTATAAGTATAAACATGGACATTAATAAGAGAAATGAGTACAGATAAATGGGGACAGTAGGACAGGGACGGAATGATCTTGGAAGACGGGGAAGGGCCATAGGCAGGGCAATAATTCATTAAGCTGCAGCTGAGCCTGCAGAAAGAATGGGGATATGGCAAACATCTCAGAAGGCACCATCCTTAATTTCT